TTATCTTACCATGTTCTTATCCTACGATTATTATTAATCGTGAAATATATTTAAGTTTCGCTTTCTACTCGCAAGTGAGGTCTAGAATTTCAAAGAAGCCATTTAAACGAATACAATCGTTCAAGCCTGAATTCAGTAATCATTACGTACTACGGAGCAGTCACATGCAAATTTTTCATTATGCAAATGCTCTCAGTTAGGTTAGACTATGGAACGCAATCTGTTTCAAAGGCTATCAAAGAAATTCAGTCAATACTTGGAAGACTAGACAAGCATCATTTTGGACGTTAATCGGTATTCAAACAGTTTTAAATACCATGGTTTCACAGAAAATCACTCGCGACCCGAACATCTCAATAGTAAAATCCGAAAATATCAAGCTGAATGTTATTGAGAGCATCTATATCCCAAAGATTATGAGTAGGCTTTCATGTCGGGTGCTGGCCAGTGTGAAACCTAAGTCAAGAAGGGTTTCCTATTTACTAAGTCCAACCAACTAACAACTCAACTACTTACACTAGTGGTCATATTGATGAGATTCGATGATCAGTGAAGAATTAGACAACCATAACTTTTATCACTACTCAGTCGTTATTCACTAGTATAATTCTATTTCATTAAAAATAAATCCTCTTCCACAGAAAGACCAATCAAATTAAACATGGATTTGTGTTTGTTATTAACAGAATTCATCTGGTCATTTTGCATGGTATTATTGATTAAGTCTACTTTATCATTCCGTAGTTTGTATAAAGATCGCTCAATTTCGAAAAGTCTGTTAGTTACTTATTCGTAAGTCATTAATCCTGACAACAAAACTCTGTGTAACTTTATTTCTTCAAAGTGTTCTTACTTCAGTTTATGATTCTGTTTTTCTTATATATAAATTATGTCGCCACAGATTTACATACTCTTCGATGTATGATTTGATTGTCATGTGTCTCGCTTATTATGTAGAGGTCTTCATAATCCAGTCAACGTTCGGATGAAATAAAAAAATGAGTTTCAGCCGTCTTATGTGACAACGGTCCTCACTTGGAATGTGAGCAGGAATGTCAGCTGCCCTCCATGCGTGATGTTTCAGTGTAGCCCGTCGTATGAATTCCAGCGACACACTTCACAGCTTCAAAGACGTTTCCGTAAGGATTTCCTATCCACACTGTAAAACACATTCTAATAGGCAAGGAACTTGATGAATAGTGACTCGTTTTACTCATTTGATTGTACAACGATGTTCCGTAGCGCCGCGATTCGGTCTGTGTATGATACACCCTTACAGAATCCATTCTTGAATTATTCCCTGTCTATTAGTCACTGCCTCCCACATTCAGAGCCACATTTGACCGAATTTTGTACAAATGTTATTTTCTATTTCATGGTACATTGTGGTCTGTTTGTTTGATATATAAACTCAGTATGTTTGGAATATAATGACCCATATCACAAAGGCTCGGATTGGTGTTCTGGACTTAACTGGCTGGGCTAGACGGAAAGCAGGACCAATCAGAATTCTAGGCTGCTCTCACGTGTTTACGCATCTTTGGTCTCATCAGTAATTCACTGCTTTCTAATCGGCGGTCACAATTTATAACAATTGGCGGAGGGGTAAAAAAATTAGATCCAAAGTCAGTCTGTAATTAGACGGAATTCAGTTTAATTATTTCGAGCAATCGGCATCCAGATTTGTCATCAGTGTCCTTGAACGACAATGGTCATTAGTCATACAGTAATTTACATTACCAGTACTGATTCAGATAATGACTCTCCCTTCCGTTCGATTACGGTTGCAATTTGAGCGATAGTTGGGGTTCTTAGTCAATTTACGCACACAGCTGCGGAGTCACTCATGCTTAGGAGATGCGACGGAATTGGATAGATTAATTTCTCAATTGCGCACTGAGTTGGAAAATGATTTCAGACTCCATAAATCCCTGACAAACCGTATTTCAAACGATACAGCAGTCACTCAAGATCCGCTCCGTGGCCCAGTACTCTCTATTTCGGAAACACGCGCGGTAATGGGTTCAAACTCTATTATCCCCGAAACAGCATGTGCAGACAGTGACTTATCCAGCTCACAAACAGACGCCCTGTTAAATGTCCATGGAATTGCCGCAGTAACCGCCAGAAAACAAATCGAGCAGTACAACGGATGCATTTGCTTCGAATGGATCTCATCATTCTGCGATGGAAGTTTTGAAGAATCTAATTATCATGATTCTCTTTTAACAGAAAATATGTCAGATGCATCAAGTGATGATTAGAAACCTAATACAATTTTCACAGATGCTGATTATCTTTATGATCCATTATCTACAAATGAAGCTGCGGATAAAATTGATAACAATATTCCAGAAGATTCAAACTCTGATGACCTCTAATTAAATAGCGTTTATCCTCACTATCTGGTCAATTTTAATGGATTCGCTGTTCGATATGTTGTAGTGACTCACTTTAATCACGAGAACACGATTGATATAATGAAAACAATTATTATTATAACCAACTGTACCAGTTTTTGTTTTATGTGCTTTTGTTTAGCTGTGCTATTTACAGCCATTTTGTGATTCCATTACCTTCCATCATTGTTCCGCGGTTTTCGGTACTGTTCGCACGTACTCCATTCTCCTGCTTTCGCTTGTAGCATTTCTTGGCACGATCTCGGTATTCGTTCGATACCACGAGGTCGCCAGCCGAATAAATCTGGTTACATCCAACCTTCGTCTTCTGATTTATTTGGCACGTGTTTCTTGGTAGCGGTGTTCATAGCTAATTGAGACTCGACACCACGCTACAATGTTTTAAATTAAGTCAAATTAATTGTAACTTGGGTATATGAGGACCCAACATTATTTCTCAGGGAAGGATGGAGTCGGAAAATTTAAAATCGATATATCAACTCCGGATTTCCAGAAAAGGGGGGTGCGTCATTTCGCGATAAAAATAATTAATGGTAATTTTGGGATCCATTTGTGGACCAATACTATACCTATATTCTTGCTTTCCTGAACCGCAAAATGCACTTCCGCGCAGAATAAATACGAACTGCTAACAACGGCACATACAGGCAATAAAAAAAGGAAAATATGCATAAAAGCACAAGATAAAACAGGCTTCAGCACCAGATAAAGCTTGTCGATAAATTTTCTCTAATCCGAAAACATTATTCTGTTATACAACCTCTCTTCGGCAAGATAAAACTGGAGTTTCCCAACTGTTGGGTCGGAATAGCTTGACTAATAACGACGTTGACGCAGCTAATCTTTTGGCTGGACAGTACCCTCGGATATTTCAACCGACCCACATTAGCTATATTGATAAAAGCTTCATCTGCAACTCCACAAAGCTTTCAGAAGTTAATCTGACCGGTGATTAGGTGTGCCGGAAAATGAAACACCTAAAAGAGACACTTCCTCTGGTGTGGATATGGTCCATTCTGCTATACTGAGGGAAGCAGCTTCAATCTGAGCATTACCGGCTAGCGTGATGTTCCCACACTCGCTAAACCGGGGCAAATTGCCAGAAATTCGGAAGCTCGCTCATGTCACTCCGATTTTCAAAGGATGTCGACTCAGAAAACCTTCAAGCTACCAACCAGTGGCTCTTATCTTCGTACCTTCAAAAATTATGGAGTCCTTGATATACGACGGTATACACGACTATTTATTATCCTTAAACATCTTTTAATCCCAACAGCACAGTTTCAAGAAGGGTTGTTCTTGCATGCAGTGGACAGATGGACAACCATCCTTAAGGTTGATATCATTTACCTTGAATTCTCATAAGCTTGTGATAGGGTCAACTATACATGTCTTATCAGTAGGCTCAAACGGTTAGGTATAAAGTCACTTTTAATTGATTGGTTCACTTCATGTCTAAAAAATCGACATTTTGAGGTTAACTTTACTTTCTCCGGCTATGAAATGTCCTAGTGTGGACCTCCAGTGTTCACTACTAGGACCTCTTCTCTTCTCCGTTTATATAAACGATCTTCCACACCAGACATCGTCAGACTTACTACTTTTTGATGATGATGTGGAAATTTGGAAGGAGAGAGATGGGCAACCAAGAGGATATACAGGGATTTCAGGAGGATCTGATTCGACTTCAAAATTGGGTAGATAACAATGGACTTATCTTCAACACTTGAAAGTGTAAAGTAGTCCATCTGCGACATGTTACAGACTACAACTACAGCTTAGGCGACTTTCCTCTAGAAGTAACCCAGGTTGAAAAATATTAAGGAATGATGGTAAACTACTATTCGAAGTCTTACCCTAACTGCGACTAAAGTACCTTCCGGGTAAACCTTGAACTGGTAAATATGAAGCGCATTTTTGGTCAGTTCGACGGCAGAGATTTCTGTATATTTTTTACAGATTTATTCGTTCCCATTTAGCGTGCGGAAATACAGTATATCCCCACTCATTCCAAAAGGATAAGGACACTCTGGATCGTATCCAATGGCGAGCCACGAAATCAGTTCGGGGACTCAAATTCAAGCCCTATGAAGAACGTTTCCAATCACTAGACCATTACACACTAGAGCACAGGCGTCTAAGATGTGTTGCAGTATTCTTACCACTTCTGGACGTCTCCTCAGACACCTATTTAAATTTAGCTCCAACACAAACCTGAGGGGTAATTTTCAAAAACTGGAGACACAACTCAGCAGAACAGACTATAGACACAACTTCTACTCCTTAATAGTATTCAAATGCAGGAACTCGCTGCCGTCCGGCATTGTTCAAGCGACTTCCTTGTAGCCCCATAAGAGAAAATTAGACAAATTCTTAAAGACTAGTGACAATGACCTACCAACTGCTTTTTCGTCTTTTAACGATAATATATTCAGAATCCTTCCTACAGGTATTAATGATCCACTGCTACTAGATACGCAAGTTTGTTAAGCTAAAGCTTCTTATGTCCCTTCCAAAACCATTTAAACCTATTACTGATTTGTCCTTGTTATATATTTCACCGCCCATTTTAAACATTTTCTCGTCATTAAAGGTCACTTTTGGTTTCTGTCAATAATCATTCTTGTCACTACATCATCATTTTTGCTAATCTCGACTCATAACCTCAAGAAAACATCGTTTATAGAATTTTTTCATTGAAATGTTGTAAGATGATACATTCATGGAATTCAAACAAACCAGAAAGAGGTAATAAAAGCGAACAAGGGAAAAAGGGACATTCCCTAAGACAATGTGGAAAAATAAAAGGGAAATGACCCGAACATTTGCAGTGGGAAAGTAGTGCGGCATTTACCCATCTAGTCGCCTTGGGTTTGAAATATCATTGATTTCCAGCCAAATTGTTTGATTTTCACGAGAATGTGCGCAGAATAATTTGCTTATAGGTTGCGTGATGACTTAAGTCATAATGTTACAAAGCTCTCCTATCCCAACATAGTTCGCTTAAGCGAATAAAAAAGGCAAATAAATTAGAACGTTGAGGAACTTCCTTAAGTAAATCGGTGTGATTATGGACGACAATTCTCTAAGTTTAAGTTGTTTTTCTCAGTCTTAGGTATGTGAGAATTTTCTCCTCAGTCTCCCCATTAAGAATCAGTGTACCGAGTCTTTCACTTTTACCTTGTCCAAATTGCCTGCTTTATCGAAAAACAAACCCAGAATTGTCTACTGTTTCCCAATATTCAGACATCAAATAATCAGCATTTTGCAAAAGCAGGCAATTGTCTGTTATTACGTCCTCATTACTTTTCCCCTTATTTATTTTTCTGACTGCCTGAGAAATGTCCTTAATTTATATTTTATGTTTCTGCAAGGTAATGTGTTGAATTCAAATTCCTTTTCTCGTTGGCCAGGGTAGAAAAAAATGTGTTTCTTTTTTGTAAATAGTTTAAAATAGATGATAGGAAATTCGGTACTGGAGTACTATCTCCTTCCATTGTTTACCTCACGTTTGTGTTGTTCAGATTTACTCCTTTTTCTCTGCGATATCCCTCTGAAAACGTTTCTTTTTTGTAACTTTAGAATTTTACGAAGTATTTCCAAATAACATATAATATAGTCTTCGGGGAATTTACATTGCATAGCAGTTCCATAACAAGTATTACTAAACACCGGCTTGCCTGACCTAATGATTTTTTTTCACAGCAAGGCTTCTGTAAACATCTCGTTAAGGGAAATTTCGGGATTTTCCATAAGTTGTTCAAGAACTTTGTAGATTTCTCAATGAAGTTGATTACATTTCTACAAAACTTCTATGAAAACAATGACAATCTCGAAATCCCCGCACATTTTGACGATTACTCAAAAGCATCAGCTTATTTTCTGAAAAACCTCTAGAAATTTCAAGGTTCTGAGTTCAATTTTCCCCGGAGTTCCTTAAAACTTTTTGATGGGATTTTTTCCAAATTAACGAAATTATAACCGAGGTCGGGAGCTTGAGCGCCACTAAGGCCTGAACACTGAGCTGTCGAGTATCCCTCTACTCATGTGATAACCATTATTGTATCATCTAATCATAGTCAGGTTTGCAGTTTCATCCACCTATAAAGGCCACCTCCGCATGTCCGAAATACTTCTCATAATTTATAGTTATCCGGTCCTCATTACCTAAGCGTTGAACCGTTACTTTATTCAAATACATAGTCATTTGATGATATGAAGTGATAGTTTTAGGGACTTGAGCTTGTGTAGTTTAATTTCCCGAGTTTGTCGTATACATTGTTTCTGGGGTTCTCGTAATTAGCTTCATTGTTGTTGCGTTAATATTCACTTTAGCAGTTATAATTCCCCTTACCTCCCATATTTACTTACTCTTGTTACCCCTTACGGATGATCCGCCCACCGGTATTCTCAATCTAACTCTGTCTTGGGCAATTCTTTCTAGTTGTTTCCATTTGTTGTTCATTCTTTTGATGTCTGCTTCCAATTCTCGGCGGCGTGTTCTTTGGCCTTCCTCTTTTCCATTTTTCGTTAGGATTCCAAGTTGGCGCTTGCTTCGTGGTGCAGTCTGGTGATTTCCGCAGTGTACATCCTATCCACCTCCGGAGTCTTCTGCTAATTTACTCTTCATTTGAAAGCTGGTTTGTCACAGTAAGTTGTTGCCGATAGTATCCAGCCAACGGACATTCAGTATCATGGGGGGTAGACGATTGTCTATAAATACTTCCACCTTTCTGATGATAGTTGGAGTAGTTCTCCAAGTTTCATTTCCGTACAGTAGAACTGTCTTGACGTCCGTATTAAAGGTTTTCACTTTGGTATTAGTTGACAGTCGTTTTGAGTTCTGTATGTTCTTCAACTGTAGAAATGTTGTCCTTGCTTCGCCAATCCTTTCCTTTATGTCTGCATCAGATCCTCCTTGTTCATCAGTGATGTTGTACAGGTACATGAAAGTTATCATCTCTCATATGGTTTAGATTTTTCCTAATCTAATTTTCTGTCTTCTGTTCTCTTAATAAACTATGATCGGACACTAACAATAGGTTTTGGTTTATTCTTTTAAGACTATTTATGATTACTTTTTCACGCACTTGTCAACATACATTATTCGTTATTTGCATATCTTGCTTTGTATTTTAACCAAAGTTACCATATTTTATCAACTAAATGCGCACTTGTAAAGTATTTCTTCATCATTACCACTTCACTACCCTTTTTCCCTCAACCATTTGTCTTATTTTTTCTCTACATTTGTTAACTATATTTTATGTATAAAAGTGTTTTGTATCCTCAGCAGATCAATAAGGAGCTAAATTGAAGTGTCGCTACGAAATGGTATTTCATAGAAATCGCAATGCGTTTATTTGCAGTGATCAATGATTGCTGGTTAAATTATTGAAAACTTATAGAGTTAGCGTTGTTTGCGAAACTTATTTCATACATGTCTTCACATACACCTCACTAATACCAGGAAATATATTAAATTCGGTTTCGTAAGCAGACCGGTTGTGAAATTGGCATTTCTCACATTGCTCTAGACTGTACACATTGGCAGTGAGAGGCTTTGTTTTGATGTATGCTTTAAATGGTTGCGTCAGGTTCCCTACTAATGGACACTGTCGACAGAATGAGTAGTAACTTTAGGTAGTACCAACAGACAAAAATCCACAACTAATGCATTGAATTTCAAAGCTTTGGTTTTATATCACACTTCTTGTTCAGGTATCACATGCTTTATTCCCAGCTTTTAGTTTCCACTACAATCGATCTTATTACTTTACTTTATTTGATTTAGTCCTGCTAATTTCTTTTCATTATAGTTAGATGAAGTATGAATACATAGGTCGATGCATATTTTGTCCAGGTCTTAGGTTTTGATGGATAGATGGTACTGAACAGAGTTTTACCGGCAGTGGTTACAAAAATCAATACATTTTTCTCAGAATTTCTAGTTTAACAAAACTCACTCATACTATAGTCTGTTCAGATCTTCTTTGGTTATATAAACACATTTGTCTCCTGCTTGAGTACAGATTTATTCTGAAATTTAAAATTACCTTAAATTATCTTATGGTGCTATTATTAAAGACTATATTTTAATTGGATGCAGTTATTAACTCCATTGAATGAAGTTCTCTGTTTAGGAGGCTTGTGTTTGTGAGATTTCTCATCGCAATTGAAGTTAAACACTTCTAAACCGTTTTAAACATGAATAATCAATATAATTATCAAGCCGACGATCGGATTCGTCAGCAACAGGCTAAAGTTCAGGAGGTAAAATTTCTTTATATTTGTTTGTAACTTACTTTCTTTCAGGTTGTTGGTATAATGAAAGACAATGTGAATCTCGTATTGGAAAGGGAAACTCGTTTAGCAGAAATCGACACTCGGGCTGGTACGGTAATCTATCCATTTTATACGTCTTGCGTATCTAACCTCTGATCTGTTTCTAGCATATATATAGTTATTATTGTAATCCAGTTATTTACACTCATTTATGTCAATTGTTTCACACTATCTCCATGTAAAAAAATTCTGTCACAATTTTGGTTTGTAAGCAGCTGACGAGAAACCTCGAAATAATATGAATTCACACTATTCTGCATCAATGTTTGTTCTTGCTCTATTTATATCTTACCATATAGTTAGCCCGTTTTCATGAGAGACTTTCAGATTTGTAAATTGTACTTTTGAGCATACCTAATTTATTAAATCTCCTATTTAGGAAATTAAAATAGATTAATATTTATATTAAAAAACTAATATTTGGACGAAGAATATTCGTTTTGGTAAATTCTATTCAGGTTCTACAATTATATATCCAAATTGATGATCCGAAAAATGACCAGGTCAAGTGCAAAGTACATCGTTTAAAGCATGTGAATTTAGGATTGTCAAACAAAATAGAATAAAACTCTTAGTGTTGATATGACTCATATAGAGTGTTAACTTGAATCTTCATATATGTTTAGTGAATATTTAAGATCCATGATCAGAATGAATATGGGTTAGATAGTGTAAGAGAAATAATAGTGCAATTACAATTCGGCCAAGTATCTGAATAAAGATAACAGAAACAATTACAGTTGACTACGAAAGCTCGTAAGTACAATATTCATATAATCATAAATTGACATCAATTTTCATACAGAAGTTATTGATTATCATCAGTGTCAGACTACATAAATGTCAAAATAAGCTCCAAATATGTAATGTCTTTACTCTACATTTGAAAACTAGTTAAATAAGTGTGCAATGATGTTCTAATTAAACGTAATTTAAACTTATGGGAATTCGTGTTATTGATTTCTTTAATCTGGATATTTCAATATTGGAACTCGATGTATCTTTTTAGCCAGCTAGTCCGTGATAATCAAGATAAACCCTGAAATCACCCACAACATTTCTTGAAGAATCTGGTTGAATATAATCTTGGAACAAATGTCATCAGTAGCAAAAGGAGCACATCTGACAAAATAAATACCTTCATTCACCCGGACACTGAAAAGGCATCAAAGATTACGAAATATTTTAGCTTAAGTCAGTGGTTATGGATAACTTCGGATACAAATTTTACTAAAAGGACTTTTATTTGTTACATAAAGCAAATAAAGAAGAATAGACGATTTTTAGAATTTCGACAATCAGGGAATTAGTAACCAACTGATGTATTGACATATACTCATTCCCTCCACCAGTGTTAAAATGATAAGCAACTAGCATTTAAAGAACAACAAAAATAAGTCTTCAGACTGAGGTAACACAATTAATGATAACGACCAATCATATCCCAATTTTGCAGAATAGTTTGTTAATCATCTACAATCAAACTCTCGTGTCTCACTTTTTAAAGTTTCTTATGACAATTTCGTCTAGGGGGGGGTAATGCAGGATAGAATCAACAACCCGAATTCCAGCATCATTGAAACAAACAACAATAATTTACACATGAATATGCGTTTTTATAGGTTCACGTAAGTGAAAAGCAAGGCAGTAATTCAGCGATGATACTAGGTGATTATCGTTGTACGTTAAAAACGGTTAGATTTGGCTCATAATGGTATGTTCGCCGCGAAACCTAAATTTATCGTGTGAGTTCATCAATAAATAAAGTTGAGGGATCTGAATGAGATAGATATCTGATACTTCCTTAAATGATGTTAGTCAGCTATGAAAGTCTCTCATTAACTATACTAAATTATTGTAAATCTACCTCATTTATTTATAACCAATATTTCCGTTAATCTAATAAAAGATAGTCGGAAAAGTTTTAGAGTTAATGCTACCAATTGTCTAAACATGCTACTTCTTATCTTTTTCGTAAATCTTAGTCATTTACGTAGTTAACTTCGTATATTTGTTGTTTTTCACATTTTACTGAATTCGGGATTAGAAAAAAACTGGTTAAAATGAATATAACTTCATGCAATTGTATGTAACCTTTTAATTGAAGTCAGTTTTGATTACTGATATATGTCGTCACAATTTCATGTGGTAATGATTGTCCTGTTGCTCGTTTACTTATTTCATTATATGTCACGTTTTGGAACCATTGACGACACCCAACTATAGTTGTATTTCATCTCAAAGGTACACCAGTTCGTCAATCGCGAGGTTTTGTTAACTTTTGTCAATGAAAAGTGTGCGAATGAAGTGCATGAAACTTGTTAAGGCTCTGCTTGAAAACTATTGATGAAGTTAGTTATGTATTCTGTCATAAATACCTTTTCGGATTATATTCTCAGTGTTTAATCCTAATTGGGATCGATAATATTATTTCCACTCATTTACTATTCATCGTGTCAATTTAATCCCGTTACGTTGATTTGATATGGCAGCTTAGACTGATCCACTTTTGAGCGCAACTGTATGTCGAGAATAATTGACCTATTTATATGTCCGTTCAATATAAAATTTTCGGTTGTATTACCTTTTTGATATATCCCTCTGTATGTTTTCACTCTTCAATTAATCAGTTCAACATCTAGATCGCTACTCTCTGAAATATTATGGAATATTACAACATTTCACACAGACATAACTAAATAAATAAACTTTTGCAATGTGAAAATCTGACTTTAGGTTCAATACTTAAAACGAGAAATCTATGATACTTCTTATTATGTAATGTGAGTAGTCGGTATGTCCAACTAACTATGACATTTAGCATTTAGTGGTAAGACTTGAGATTCTTCACAAGGATTTGCTATTTTGATTACAGTCTTTCCTGGTTATTATTACCCACAGTCGTCATTTATATAATAAGGAGATCAAGTGTGGTACGTATCACCAGGAATTTATAGAGCTAAGGCGCATGGTAGTCCGTTTCTGTAATTGTAGTAAGATTACATACTACTTACAGTCTGTAGTTCTTCACACCCCATCGTTTATTTTCTATCGTTGTGTGTATGCGAGTGAAATAAATTAAATTCAGAGATAAATTGCGAATGAGTGATATATCATTGTTCCTTGTAATCGTCATCCACTCAGATCACGAAAAACACTGTACGACTAGGTATCAATACCAAGGTGCAGCTTGATGATTTCGAATAGGTAGAAAGTTAATAATAAAATAATGATGTATTTGTGGTATCTCGATGTGTAGAAATTTGGATTTCTGATATTTCATGACTTAGTTTAAGCCACTTCTTGAAAGTAAGTAACCGAAATAAATTAACACAAGTTTAAACAACATAGAAGAACTAAGCAGAATATTTAGTCAAGTCAAAATAAGTCCTTGATGTGTAAAACATAATGGCTTGAAACGTTATCAGACATGGCTCGCAATAGAAACCAGTGGCGATCCTGTTGTAACTTTGCTTTTTATATGGTTAATAGGGACTTCTTTATAACAGTCCTTGTCGGGTTTTTTTTCTTAGCTGGACTGTCTCTCTCGATGTTATCATTGTTCTCACCCTCATACACTAATTTATATCCAATTCAGTTTTTATACTCGCCTTCCTCTATCTCTTCACAACTTCGTTTTTATTGTGCGGCGCATTTATTTATTTGAACACATAAATATTGGTACAAGGAGGTACCATATACATACGCGCCACACAAGTCACTTGATTTGTGTGTGTGTTATGATACTGCCCGGGTGTCCAAACTGATGGAAATGACATTCTTGTCTACTGAATTCTCGGGTATTGATCTCATTCCAGGAGGTCCACTTATCGACTTAGAATACGCAGATGACATAGTCCTGTTTGGTGAAGACGCTGATAAAATGCAGAGTCTTTTGGTAGCACTGAGCAACAATGCCAGAATGTTTGGAATGCGCTTCTCTCCCTCTAAATACAAGTTGTTGCTTCAGGACTGGTCTACGTCAACACCTGAACTAAGGATAGGGAGTGAAGTAGTCGAACGCGTGGACAACTTCACTTATCTTGGAAGTCTGATCAGCCCTAATGGGTTGGTGTCTGGCGAAATCTCAGCACGGATTCGAAAAGCCCGCTTGCCTTTTGCCAACTTACGTCACCTATGGCGAAGGCGAGATATCCGTCTATCAATAAAAGGACGAGTATACTGCGCGGCAGTCCGTTCTGTTTTAATTTAAGGCAGCGAAACATGGCCCTTAAGAGTAGAAGACACTCGTAAGCTACTAGTATTTGACCACAGATGCCTCAGAAATATTGCTGGTGTCTGCTGGGATCATCGGATAAGTAATAGTGAGGTTAGACGCAGGGTATTAGGGAATGATGGTAAATCAATTGATGAGGTTGTGAATATTCATCGACTGAGATGGTTGGGCCACGTGTTACGTATGCCCGAACACCGACTACCATGACGTGCAATGCTAACCGGCGTTCGGGACGGTTGGAAGAAAGTTAGGGGCGGCCAAACCAAAATGTGGCATCAGTGCCTGAAGTCACTAACTTCTAGTCTGAGCCATGTTGGTAGATGCAGAATACTTGGTTGGGGTGCGCAGGACTGTCGTAACCAATGGTTGCAGAATCTTGGTGACATGGCTCAGAATCGATCACAATGGCGTCGGTGTATACACTTTTTGTCTTCCCTTAAACTAAGAGATTAAAATCGCTTCACATCTTTCTTTCCACGAACTAATTCTTTCTTTGTGTACTATATCCTTATTGCAATCTTTCTTTTGTATATTACCACCTCTGAATTAACTACTTTTATGAATCCGTTGTCCATCTTGTTGTGTTAATGAAGTATGGCAACTTGGACTGATGCATAAATGTGCCTGGTCCTACGTTGTAGCTGACTGACCAAACTGAAGCAGGTGGTTTTCTTAGTGGGCCACAGCCAGAGCCTTCGACACAAAGGTCTGATCCACAAGGAATTGGAACAACGTCGGGAAACACAGTTCCAATAATCGGTTCATATACCATTTGTTTCCTTGGGATTATGTCAGTTATTATAGTTATTAGCCGAAT